GTCCCTTTGTGCATACTTCTGTGAACACGTGCACTGAGGTCAACACGGCAGACAGTCTGACTCCTTTGGACAGTGTTTTTGTCCACGTGCAGTTATAAAAAGAAAACCAGGAAACATAGGTTTGCCTCGGTTTCCTCTGGACATGAACAGGAAAGACTAGCAGACATTATCAGCACCTTGATGGCTAAAGTAAATCACTCCTTGAAACTAAGCATGGTTAACCCCTAGGATTTCACCTAGATCAAAAAGTTGACTTGCCCCAGTTTAGAGCATTACTGCTTTACTACTTTACGTTAATGCACGCAACCTGCCAGTTCTATGGTACAAAAATGTGATTTTTAGTTTTGTCTTAATTCACTGAATAACTCAAAGCTACTATTGAACGACTACACATTCATAAAAAACTTTTCAGGCACTTAAAGGACAAACAGTGAGATTTGAGACAATGACCTTTGATTCACCAAGAACTATTGTCATTTGACTTTTACAGGTGGAAACAAAGAGAGGGAAAAAGTATAATTAGCTTGTTGAAGACTGTTTCATAGCACAAGAAATCCCAAAACAATGTGGTGATAATGGTTTCTGTTTACTGAAACACTTAAATACCACCAAACATACACGCAATATAAAAACCACAGTCAGTCACAGTTTCCATGCCTGAAATGAAAAAAAAAATGTCATGTTGACTCGTTGACTTTTTTCTAATCTTAGCACCTCGAAGTTGGGAAGTACATTTTATGCTGACCTTACCGGACACATTAACTACGTAAAAAATCACAATTTGATTGGAAGATTTTATGGGAGAAATTATCTAGGTTGTAGCCACAGATGGTTAAAAAATCGGAGTAAGAATCTGTCTGGGAAATGCTTCGCTGTCAATGTTGAAGTTCTGTTTTTTTCTAAATCCACTGTCAAACAAGGTCAAACTGTACCTCCTGAGGAATTGTGTAGAAAATAAAATAAATAAAGAAAATATCATAACATTTAAAATAGAGAGAAACCTTTATGGATATGTTTTATTGGTTTGATTCATTCAAATGTGCTGAACTTTTCTTCCAGGCGAAATCACCTGAGCAGCTGTTGAAGCTCGTTAAATTACCTGATCTTCAGGAGGGCTTTATGAACATGGATACACTTCCCGTCCACCAGGAACTTCAGGTCCGAGATCTCTGGACTGTCAAACTCCTTCTTTAAAGACTGAGCCACAGTCAGGTGATCGTCACCGTCTGACAAAAAACACACACAAATGCATACATTTGCCAACATTTCTGCTCATATAGCCCAAACTCTTTAGATGTGGAGTGTTTTTCTTTCTGTGGAATAATCGTTGAGTTGTTGAGTTTTCAGCACTAAAATCCATCTACATTTAGCTTTAGAATGAATCATTTGCAGAGACAAAGAGTTAAACTCACGGATCAATTTGTTGTGAACTGACACATAAGTCGTCTCACTGTCACATAGTCCCATCCTAACAGACGGTTGGCTTAATCTACTTCTTTCATTACATATACTTTACATAATTTATGTTAGAGATGGAGAAAAAACAAAGACTTTAGACTCAATCCATACCCACTGACAGGAGATGCCACGTCACTGCAGGAGTGGCAAAACACGCAAACACATCGTCTGTAGTGCTGAAGTGGGTGACGTGCGGACTGGCCACGGCCTGACCTCGACACTGACCCCACATCAGAACCTGACCGCTCTGGGTCTTTGAGGCTGATGTGTGGCTGGTGTGAAAAGCAGCCACCTCCACCATCCTAAAGACAAAAACAACATTTACACTCTAAAGGGCATCTCCTCCTCTTTGATTTACAGACTGTGTTGTGTAACGTGTCAAATATGTGACTGAAGTTGACAGAATGAAATTATGTTATTTTTAATCTTCGACAAGTTTAGGTTAAGTCAAATAAAAATATTCCACAAATCCATAAATGTTCACTGCAAAAAATCTAGCGATGGTAGAATGTAATGTGTGTAAACTTGAATAGTAAAGTAAGAAAGAAGAAGCAAAAAGAAGGAAGAGGAAGAAAAAAATCAGCCACAGCAGCTAGTGGAGTAATCTCCTCTAAGCTTAGAACTGGTGTTAAACTAAATAACTATGAAACCTTGTTGGATGAGATTGTTGTTGAAATACACGACTAGTTTCCACCTCATGAAAAATGACTGCTTCTTTAACACTCACCTCTCCTTGTCTATGTTTATTTGGGTTGGTAAAGCTTGGTTACTCTTATTGCCAGTTCCCAACTGTCCATACGAGTTTGCCCCCCAGGCATAAACAGCGCCCTCATCTGTTAGAGCCAAAGTATGTGCATAACCACAGGCAACCTGAGGAAACATAATTGATTTCAATGTTGCCTCAGGTTTAAATAGGAAAAAAAGAATATTTTTTCTCTGCGTGACTTTCACCTGGACAATATTGATTCCTTGAAGAGCTGCAATCCTACACGGTGTCTGCTGGTTTCCATTGTTGCCCAGACCAAGCTGACCGTTGCAATTATAACCCCAACCGTAGATCTGCAACATTTGAAGCTCATTAGTTTAAGGTTATGTTGGTGTTGTTTAAGCAAAAAAAAAAGAAGGTTTTTTTCCATCCCCGGTAGTGAGAGTGGTTAAGTTGTTTTTTCCATCCCCGGTAGTGAGAGTGGTAAGCCTCCAAGGGTCCTCATTTAAGGAAAGTCATTTTCTGTTAAGTGTGAGAAATAAGTGTCTTGTGTGTGAAGATAACGCTGCTACTTGTTCATGCATGAGGGACTCAAGCAGGAAACAATTATTCAGGTTCTGCCCCTTCTAATTAATCTGTATCTTTCATGAAACGATGAGTCATGCCTCTAATGCACACACTGCTTCACTCATGAATAACTTATGCCCATGTGTGACGCACATATCCATCAGTCAGCGCTCTTCTAAAAAAGTTAAGCGCTGCTGACTCACCGCTCCCGTTTTTCATGTTAAATATCGGCGGAATGACGGGAGCCATCACCTCTCCATTGTCCAGCACAGCCATGGAGCAGAGCTGACCACAGGCCACATTCACCACCACTTTGTTCTGAATGCAGCTGCTGACGCGGCGTGGTGTGGGTTGGTTCGCAGTGGACCCTGATCCAACTTGGCCTGAGTTGTTGTAACCCCAAGCGTAAACCTGGATATAAAAATAATTTGATCAGAGAGACAAACACTAGGCAGAAAGTAAACAACTAAAAATAGAGGGAAATGATTTAAACAATAAAATACGTACAAACAACAGACAGTACAGGCTTTTAGAAACAAACCCAAGCAAATAGCATAACATTTGTGCTATTTGCTGCTTGGCATATTGTCAACAATTCCCCAGGTACTGAATGGGATCAATAATGTTTAATTTAATCTAATGTTGCACTAATCTAAAGATTTTTTTTCCATCAGTCTGACTTGCCCATCCCCTTTGTTTTTTGTCATGAGAATCAGTCACCTCTCCATCAGTGGTCAGAGCTATAGTGTGGTGAGAACCACAGGCCACTTCTGTCACTCTCTTGTTCAGAAGGTTGGTGGACACCAGGGCAGGGGTCAAGCCATGGTTGGTGGTCCCATTGCCCAGCTGGCTGTATCCATTGTGGCCCCAGGCGAAAACCTCTCCATCTACATGAAAGCAGGAAATAGTCTTAAATGGAGCATGAAATTAAATGGAAATGCTAATTTAGCAAAGGTTTATTTGATTAACTTTGGGAATAATCTTGTGACTATAAGTGCAAGTATATCATTAAATAGTTAGGAGTAATGAATAATGAGACAGAACCGTTCTAAAGGTAGACTCCAGTCTGCACGCAGCATGTCGTGTGTGGATGATGACATTCCTGTACATCCTGAAATCTGCCCTTGGGGGCACATATAAAAAGATTCCTGAAGTGAACTACCTGCAGTAGCAATAACAACATGAGGTCCTGTGCCATAGCTCAGGGAGACAATCTTCTTTCCACACAAAACATCAATCCTGCGTGGTTCGATTGTGCTTTGAAGATCTCCAAGACCTAAACAGCCGCTGCAGTTGGTGCCCAGTGCAAAAACCTGAAAATATGCCAAATATCACTGTTAAACAGTATTTCATATAAATAGGATAATCATGACACATGGCTTTAATGTAGAAAAAGATGGAGAAGCTAAGCAATAAGGTAAATGTATTTGCAAAAACGTTTTTTTGGTTGATGTGAAAAGATTCTAAATTTATTTTCTTGTTTTATCATAGATTTTTGCCAAAGGGAGTAGAATCAACTCCACACATCTCAAACAGTGTGAATATAAAGAGGAGCTTGGTTAACCACGAGGGCTGCAAGGTAAAGACAGAACGTCTCTTTCTATCTGCTTATCCCTGTGACCAGAAGTGCAGCAGGAACATCTGCCACTGGTTCCTGTCCATTTCTAATACATCCATTATAAGTCTGTGATCGCTTATTGTACTGTTTTACTAATAGTAAAAAACAGAGTTACCTCATCATTAACTGTAACATACAGTGCTTCATTGCCTGCACTGCCAAAGACGCAGGCCTGCCGGATGAGCCGCAGTTCCTCAGGAGAAAGGAGAGCAAACACTGGCCACTTCCCTACTTCCAGCATACTACTGTGAGAAGAGTGGGAAAACACAGACAAATAGATCTAGATAAAAGTTCTCAGATGATTTGATATTAGAACACAAAGAGAAGAATGAAAACAGGGACTGTGCAGAATAAAAACAAAACGGCACTGACTTCCAAACATTTAAAAGGAGACAAAACTTAAGAATGTAAGAATAAGGGATGACTCAATAGGTGGCAGTGGTGGCCTGGTAGTTAAGGGAGTGGCCTTGTGCCTTGAAGGTTGCCGGTTCAAATCCACTATTTAAAAGGTGCCACTGAGGTGCAGTGAGCATGGCACCATCCCCACATATTGCATGAGCACAACTTTCATTGTGCTGGTGTGCTGTGTATTAATGACAATAATTTACTTTAATACAACTTTTTTATGTCCGATATCTAAATTATAACTTGGGAGTATCTGCCAGTGTCATTATCGACCTGATACCTTATTTTCACCTCCTGCATGCCGCTATTGCTGAGTTGTTTTTGTTTAAAAAAATTGTGATAAAGTCGTATCTTCAACAGAAAAAAAAAATCACGAATCACATCCTTTTGTGAGGTGAGTATATTGTTACATCCCTAGTCATAAAGAAGCAGAGAAAAGCTCAAGGATTCCATGTTAAACCATTTGTGCTCTGTTTATTGAATGTCTGACAGCCTACAAGTGAATCTTCTATTTACAATGCAGACATAATCAGAAAGAAAATGAAGGTCACACTGGAACTAATAGGGAAAAAAACATATTTCTCTGGCTGCAGTAACAAACCATGAGTGTGTGCTTTCTTCACTCAGGCTACAGACTAATTTAACCTGTTCAAGGTGCTGAGGTGAGAGTCTGACACTCCACCTACAAATCACCATAACAACCAATTATACATTGACCAAATTGGCTGATGCTTAATTCCATAAACATTTTAATTAATTGTAATTATTTTGTGGTCATTTGTGATTAACTGCATTGTTTGCCCCAGTTTGGATTTCCTTTCATTGACAACATACACAAAACAAAGTGTTATTCCAAAATGTTATTATCTTAACAAGTAAACATTTAACAATACCCACAAACTGTATTCAGTCATAGGCCATCTCTTCAGTTGAACAACTTTCAAAGTAAAGTGCTTGGTGTGCTGGATAGTGCTAATCATTTGCGATAATGTTAATATGTGATATAACATCTGTCAGCCTTAACTGATTACTTATTAACAAGATAATAATGCAATTATGTGCTATAATTTACACTGAAAATAATAAAGATACATTTTTAAAATATAATATTGAAATGCTGAGTCATGATCCAGCCGAAATAAACCCAAGGTTTCCATATAAAAAAGAATTTGCGCTCTGGTTACTGAAAGTGTGACTGCATACGAATCACCCTTCTTTTATAAAAGAAAATTCTAAGAAGGGAAGGCCACACTGAGTTTGAAAGGAGAAAAAAATGAAAGAATTAATCTAAAAAATACAGTACATTCAGAAAAAAAAAAACAATTCATAAATTAAACAAAAACTTGGTGGATAAATTATCCCGTAGGATCTTCTGGAGAAAGAATAAAATGTGCGTTTACTGAGATTCATATTCATAAAACTGTGTGTATAGTAGTATTTCTGATTCATTAAAAGCTATTTGATTAGTGCCTCTTTTTTTTAATCTTAAAACAGCCTTTCGCATCACTCTGTTAGGGTGGGCTTGTCCACAAACTTGATGGTGGGCATATTGGTACCCCATTATTTTCAACTTTTCCAGCATCTTAATGAATGCATGTCTTCAAGTATAAAAACAGTTTGCCCTTAGGTCTTTTTGGTTCAGCGTGGCAAAAGCACAGTGTCTTTGACAGGGGTTTGGAGCTTGTGTAAGGTTTTGTGCTTACTAGGGTGGACCTTCTCGACTCAACGAGAATCACTGCTCACATCATAACACCTTAAACCATAAAATAACTCTGCAAATTATTTACAATGTCTGAATCATTGTTGTGTCTGTTTCTCTGTTGAATTTTTACATAATGTTGTACTAAAGATTAACTCATATGATGAGTGTACGTTCACTCAGCTAACATCACCATGTTTTCGATAAATCCAAAACAGGTCGCAAAGAGAAGCTTAGCAGTCTGGCTTTATATGCTAACACTAACAAAGTGTCAGTAGCTGTAAGACCGGACTATTATACTGCTGACTTTACACCAGCAAGTATTAGAAACCTTCACTGACTTTGTTGGAGGGGGAAAAAAATCACTATATGAAGAACAACTTCTGATTCAAACTGTTGTCAGTACCTTTATGTTGCTGTAGATTTAGCTAATGTTTCCTCCCCAGACGTCGTTTCCTCATAGACAGCGACTTTAAAACCCTATCAGATATCATACTTGACGAATCAAAATCATTATGTCCTGCGCCTGCTTTGTTAAAAAAATTAATTAATAAATAAATCTCTGATTCACACTTGTTTGTCTCTGCGTCTTATTGTAGTTAGCCTTAATCGGTTCATCACCGACTGGAAAACACATACTTCCTGTAGGGAGATGTTGCGTTCACGGACAATCGGATCTGAAATACATAATAGGTTTTCTAAGTAGTTAACCAACGAATACATAGTTATGATCGATCTATCTAGCTATCTATTTAGGACGGGTGTTTTATATGTGTAATATTTACTCAAATGGCTTAAGTGAGATGAATTAGACGAAGGTTAACAAAAAGCGACACAATTTCTAAAAGTCTGTGTGTGTCTGTGTGTGAGAGAGAAAGAGATTAACCGAAAGAAATTCAAAGAAATTAAAGTTCTCAATTTAATAAAAGTCCATGTTCCTTCTCATCCATACCCCCACTCCCAAAAGTGCTTCTTTGCCTTGTCTAATGACTGAAATAAATCTTTAAATGCAAAGAAAAAAAACTGATGGAGACTGTTGAAAATGGTATTAAATGTAATGTTTTTCATTTATGTTGGGAACAATTACTGAACGCTTGACAAAGTTAAAATGGTACTCAATGTTTAAAACACCAGAGAGACTTATTTCACCTTATTTGATTTATCAATATTGGACAAATTTTGAAATCTACCCAAGAAAAAGCTTAGAAACATTCACACAAAGTGACAATGTCAGGAGTGCTTCTAATGAATATATAATACATATTATTTATATGTGTATGTATGTTTATATATATATTGTTGAGACTAAAAAACATTTCCCAATAAACAATGAGATAGAGGATAGGAAGCATATGAGACCCCAGATTTCCAGAATGGTGATTAGAAATTTCTCATAATCAACATAATCATTCACCTGCATGCTGCATTGTACCTGTTATGACATATTAAACATGATTAAAGGCACAGTTTCACAAAATAATTAACCTAGTTTTGAGACGTGACTGCAATCTGTTGCAATCGCCGCCATCACAATAATTTCAACTCTGACTGTTTATATGTATCTGACATGCATGATGATGGTAGTCACGGCATTTTCAATGTTATACCATTATTATTATTATTATTATTATTATTATTATTATTATTATTATTATTACATTCATTTATGTATTATTTGCATTTGCTTATCGAGCCATTATTTTAGCTAATCAGTGAGATCAATGGGAGGAGAAAATTCATGTTCTGCTTTCCCCTTTAAGAAGTCACATCTCTACAACTAATATTATGAGTTTTAACATTTTTCTCTAGAGCTATGGATTTTTCCTTATATGTAGCCACTTTATTTCTTTAAAGTCAGTTGTTTGTTTTTAATCTGGTCATTTGTAGTAGAAATATAAGAATTACAAGGTTATCAATCAGGAATTTGTTGTAATCCACTATTTTATAATGAAATTACTATCAGTTTTAGATTTTCTGAATATTAATTCAAAATTCTAACAATAATCTTAGAATTCTTTTTAATTTTCACGATAATTCAAAATCTTACATAATCCAGAAATTAGAAGTTAGTCACTAAATGATTTCTTTTTATTTTCTTTAAAATCATAATCTAGAATTTGATTCCAGATTTTTGACATCCATTTTGAAACGATTGTTTTTCAGTCTTTTAAAGTCTGTAACATCTTTTCTGGCCCAGAACTATCATTTGATTATTTAAAGCACGCCTCATCTTATGTGTTTGTCTGTGAGAATTGATTGTTACTCCTTATTCCCATGTTTTACGCATTAAGCATTGTCATTACTATTTTTAACCGTGACTAATTTATAATACCAAAAACAGATGGGTATGGAAGCTGCAGGACTGTTTCTGTTCCTCCTTATCTTGAGTGGAATTCTTTTCATCTAATCAGCTGGAATGCGCATGTGCGCGCAGCCCAGTAAGCGATGGCGAAATTTCTGCTCTCTTGTGTGCGCCGAGTAGGGCTTGATGGGAGGTTTTCTCGATAAAAATTGCCACTCGGGACAACGTCATCGATAGTTTACGTCGTCGCCGTCACTCGCCGGTGGTTTGTACACCAGTCTCGGGTGCGGTTAGATCATACACCGTCCGCAGCATTAGAAAAACCACATCTTCATCTTTGCTATAAGTACTAGCTGCAGAGCATTGAAGAGCTAACGTTAGCATGTAAAATTTTTGCCGTGTACAGTGTTTGTACGGGTAGCTCAGTGCAGCTGTGTTAAAGAGTCGTACGTGTCAGGTGTTGCAAACTAAAGGTGGTCGTAACAGGTTGTGGAGGGAGGAGCGGCTGAAGGTACCATCTGAGTCCATACTGCTGCTTCTGCTGCTGCTGTGTCTGAGTGAGTAACGTTAGCTGCGCTGCTGCTAATCACTCGTTTGTAGTTTAGTTACTGCGTCTCCTGAGGGACGCCTGAAATAAAACAGTAAATGTTTATAACTGACATGACTTGAATGTGATATTTTACTGCTGATAGATAACAACGGCCAGCTGTGACTGTTAACACGGAGAACACACACACTCACTCACGCACACACCTGTAGCTAAAGTAAACAACTGCCACAGAGGAAGCTAACCCATCGCTCTTGAATATTTTCCTTTAAATGCTGGCTTTTTATTAATACAATAAATTGGGCTTCATATACAACTTAACTAACCGCACATAGTAAAACACACACTTGGTGTTAACTCCCCGCATCCCAGTAACAATGTAAATGTTTTTTGTCAGCTGTCACAATGTATATTTTATTTCAGAGTTTTCTCTCTCACTCTTTCGAGTGAATATTTGACTATCCATGAAAATGAGGTTGCCCAAGTCAATGCACCAATTACATCTGATCTGATTTTCTTTAAAATAAACCAATCTCAAAATAATTATAAGAGCAAGTTGAGCTGAAAGATTACAAGGTAACACATTTTAGCAGTTCTTAAAGATATTTTTGGCAAAAATTACGGCACTTGATATCATCAAAGCAGAGGTGACTGATAGCAGTCTGGTGGTTGTGGAAATCTTGCCAAAAGAACAGAGTACTTATTGTGAAATGTTGTTTCGGGGCTGTTACTGCCTTAGCAGCAACTACGGGACTTTTTAGCAAGTTGGTGAAAAAAAAGTAAAACTTAGCCTGCACAAAACCATGTTTCACTTTTAGAAATCAGAAAGTTAAGATTGTTTACATTTCTGAGTAACAGTGACACACGTCATGATTTTGATATTGTCAGACATGACTTTTATTATAATCTTGACAAAGGAAAATAGATGTAGGTGTATGGATGACAGGACTGAAGAAACAAGAAAAAGGTTCTGTAAAAATTATTTATTTTATCATTATCTGATTAGCTTTCACATCACAGAAACTGAATCAAAAACTGTTGTGACACTAGCATAAGCAGACTTTCATTTTCATTTTCAAACTAATGATACCTTGGCTGCAGAGATGCTACTAATAACAATAAAATGTTTGGAGGCAAATCTAGGGGACTTTTTAAATTTTATAGGTAATAAAGCATTTTATGATGTGTCTGTACTTTGCTGCAGGTATGAGCAAAGTAATATGTAATTGTAGGGAATACGAAATATAACAAGAGCTGACAAAGGCTTTTTTTAAAAATGCAGTTCTGTCTGACGCTACAGATGACATGAGCTGTTCTGGCCGGTATGTCCAGCCAGTTATCGGGTAAAAAAAATCCACAACAGCCCCTTGTAATTCCTTACTAAGGAAAAGGGTTGGGTGTGGGTATGTGACAAATAAGATTGGGTTATATCATTCTTCAGTTGTCTTTCTAAAATCCCAAGGGCTGTTTCCTTTTCCATGGCTTTACCAACTCCTGCCAGTGTCTTATGTGTGAGAACAGACTGACCCTCTTTAGAGCGCGTGTTTACTAACCACAGTAATAAAACTAAACTTTGCCCTGTTAGTTTTACACACTGGCAGTTTAAAGGGCAGCACCTGTGGCAGAGACTGAAACCCATTGCTGAGCACATCAATAGGGTCATTTATCACTGTATGCGCCTTCCAGGGATTTGTCATCACTTCACAGTCGCTTTTCGCCCGCTTGACAGAGTGAGTTGAAACGGTAAACCAGTGGCAGAATATAATAATACATTAAGATTTGTGTGGTGGGCTTCAAAGGCATTTCATTGACATTTAATGTTAAACAACAGCTTAGACAACTTTGACCTCTCTGTTTTCAGGAATTTCAGTGTCTCAGTCTGTCCTTTCACCAAATTTAAATGCATTATTACTGGAAAAAAAAAGAAGTGACTACAAGAAAAGTGAGTCGGGAGTTTTTTTTGCAAGAGTATTTTAATTTTAAAATTAAGGGCATATATTTCAGTTTACTGTAATTATTACATTGTCTGCTAAATGAATTTAAAACTATAATTTGTATTTAAGCTCTTTCCCCCCTGAGATTCTTTTATTTCAAAATATGTTTTTGTTTACCTTGTATTTATTTTTCTTATAGATACAACATATAAATCAATTTGATTTGGCTTTTGTTCATTAAGAGCATGCGTATCATCTATGTAATCATCACAAATGAATTACTGCATTTTTGACAGCCATAACAAAGATAAATATGTGCAAATACTTCCAACACATAGCAAAGGCAAACTAGAAAACCTAGATACTTAAATAACAAATTAAGTAAATAGCAAAAACAGTTGAAATAATAATGCTTTTGAAAAATAATGCAAGACCAAATGTTGCTAGAACTAGCAATAATGTCAGATAGTGACATTAAATGTTTGAATGTCCTGTAGTACAATAGCAAATGTGTTTATAATATGTATTTCCAACAAACTGATGTGCCAAGAAAAGAATATTATGTCAAACCTAGTTGCCCTAATAAATCCAGTGAAGTATCACTATTGGCCTCGGACATGATTCTGACCTTGCTTGCTCGTGGTCCCCGTCCTCCCCCCCATATGACCAAAAATGCAACTGAGAAACAGCTGCTGCACCAACAGCAACAGTCAAATATGATGTAAAACCAGGACAGCAACAGATGCTGCTTCAGTAATACATCAGTCTTGTTTATTGTCCTCTAACTGGAGAAGATGGATACAGGCTTTACAAAAATGCAGCCACAAAGAGGCTTACACACCGTTCCCCAGGTAACATGAGTCAACTGCCACTTATACTTTACATCTTTTTGTTTCAACTGGTCATGGAGATTTATAAACATGATCCAATTTCACATTTTTTTGGTTGTATGTGTAAAATGAAAACAAATATTTTCAGTAGCTGTTGTGTTTTTATTCACAGATACTAAATTCTAAGGTATAGTATTGCATTTAATATTGTAAAGTTATGGTCTAACAAAGAGTCACTTCTTAATTTTTTACTTCATACAATACAAACTAATTTCTGTGAAAATGCAAAGATCTCTTGCTACCCTGTATTACAACTCAACTCAAGTCTCAACTAATTTCATAATGGTGAGTCAACATTTAGTTGTCAGTTTTTAGCAAACAAATAGATATAAATCTATTTTTTAGACACTAACACATTTTAAGGACTAGTTTTGATGACTGAAGGCCTTAGGGAAAGCACCTGTTTGGTAAAGACTTCCTGAAACACTAGGTTAATTTCATGTCAGTGCTGCACAGAGGTTATAGTTTCTCAAGCTCGGTTCATTGACCGTCACACTGTAGACATGCTAACATGTTGAGCTCAAACAAGGAACAGGAGGGGGGAGGGCCTAATGCTAACGGATTAGCCAGATCACTGTCTGGCGTTGGAGCGCATGCGTGAGATTGTAATAAGGTTCAAGGACGCATGTTACATTTACCTCATAGTGTTCCGATGATCAGGGACCGTGATTTGTGTTTACAACTGCTAAAAGTCAGCAGTAAAGGAATGTATAACGATGTTAGTGTATTCTCTGTACTCTAGCAATAGGTTGACCTAAAAAGGGTTTTCCTGAATTGATGAAATATTTGTTGAACATTAACATAAGAACTAAGCCATGTTTACGGTACAGTCATTTACTTCTAATGGTTTAAAGGTTCATGAAAGAAGATGATTTGATTTGATTTCTCCCATGCTCTTAAAACAGAACATGGTCTCTGTAGTCTGATTCATCATGCAGTTTTAACAGCAGGCAGGTGTGGACATAACCCAGGCAATCCAGGCCCAACACTGTCCATAAAGCTTTGCTTGATTAAATTTGTGATGAACGAGCTCTGCAGTTGTCTAGCTGAAATACATTTTGTTTGTTCCTGGTAAGAGATGAAATACACTACAATGATACCTTCACATTATTATGTATTTATATACAGTATGTGAAATCAAACACACATTGGTACATGCAAGAGGCAGTGGTGGCGTAGTGGTTAAGGAAGCGGACTTTGGTCTGGAAGGCTTCAGGTTCAAGTCCACCAGCTTCCAGGTGCTTAAAGTCCACTGCTTAAATCTGCCCAGTGTTCACTTTGGTGATGGGTTACCAAAGTGACAGCACATTTCGTTGTGTGCTGTATCACAATGACTAGTAGTCATTCACTCACTAGGTTGTACACAGAGTACCTCTTACTAATGGTTTAATTTAAAAGTTACCTAGGGTTGTCACAACAAGAACAGTAAATGTAATATTGTAATATTATTTTGTAATAACAACAATGGATGGAACCTGGATGGATTATTGCAGTAATGTTGTGTGGTGGATTAAATGGATTATTGCAGTAATGTTGTGTGGACAATGAATTGTTGCAATTGTTATACTTTGAGTTGCAAAATTTGTTTCTCCACCTACCAAAATGAATTAAGTACACTACGCCCAAATCCAAAGCCTGCAAGAATGAATATCCAAACACCTGCAGATATCTGTCATACGTGTCTGTTTGTATGCAGATTCCTCAAGAAGGAACTGCTGATGTGCAGCTTGGTTGCGTCAGAAAATACATTTCTGGGTGTGCCTGTGGGCTGCTGTGCTAGAAAATGAGTGGAATAAAATAGTGTTTGGAGATTAATTAGAAAGTGTATCAAATTCCCACTCAATTTGATTCAGCTCCTCATTAGGGTCCTTACTGGAAATGACTGTGCAGTTTAAGGCCTTTTGTAATGTGGCTTTGTCTGCCAACAGAGACTGTTTTAAAGCTCTTGGGGATTTTTGCTGTTGTTATCTTTGTCATGCCTTCATTTTTCACTGTTGTGAAAAACCCCCCAGTGCTGTTAAAACACTTGGTCATTATAGCAGCCCAAAATTCCATTAGTGAGCGTTCACTTAAGGTGATTTTGCATGTGTTGTTGATTACCATCTTGATAGTCCATTTATCTTTGCACTTGTGCATCATTAACTGAAAATTCATTGCACCATTTTTTGTGAAATAAACTGGCTTGCACTTATCATTTTAAACTCAAAGTGACTTTCCTTAACACTGAGTTTTCTAGTGTTAAACCTACAACATTTGGATATTAAGGTGTGTGCGTCAACATCCTAAAGGTCTATTTTGAAAGGAATGTTAATTTCATGTTGTAACATTTGATTTGAATGTTTCTGGAATTAGAAATGCTGACTGCACACTTTGGCCCGATTTAAAAGGTTCCTATCCTGTTGTCTTAATATTAAAATGTACTTGTTTTGTAATCTAATACTTGCGGTGTCATTGTTGTAGGAGTTCCTCTTCGGTGGTGTGAATGAGGGAAACATGGCGGACCACACCCCACCTCTGGAGTCTAGCCAGCATCTCAGCCCTGAACTCCCGATCCTTGCTTCACCACCTCCCCCAGCCATGGTCAACGGTGATGGCCCCCAGCAGGTAACCTCAAGAGTGTTTTTTGACCCAAATTCTCAGCTTGTAACATGTATCTGTAATCTTTTCCTCCTTGGTATAGTGTTTTTTCCAGTCTTTATCCTACCCTTTTCATTTCTGTCTCCACATTGCTGTACATATACGATTGTCCTGCTCTCTGCATAGAACGTTGCACAGTTCCACATTGATGTGCACACATGTGATTTGATTTTCCAGAAGCCCTGAAAGATGGCCTGCGCAGACAGACACTCCACACTTTGTTGATAAATGTTATGAAAATACATTTTCAATATCAGTACAGTTATTATAATTTATTTGCAATATCAGTTTTAATTATCAGTACAGTTATTATAATTTATTTGGTTGTTCTTTTGACTGGTGTAATAGAAAGACATAAATGCTATCACCCTTTCCCCCCAAAAAAAGCTGCACACTTAAGAATAACACTGGTTTTCAGAACCTGAAAAATGTACTGCTTTTGGTGCTACTACAACCTCACATATACTCCTTAATTATAGAAATTAGCATAGCTGACAAAGCTGACTTGTGCAAACAAGTTATGTGAATATATATTATGTGTCAAGCTACTTGTCAGTAAATTTACCTTTGGCTAACTAGTATGAATGTAAACAACAACAGCTGTTAAGCTCTTGCATTTTCAAGATTGCACCCAAGTCAAGGTGTGAATGCGAGTTGTAAGAGCCACTGGAGAGAGGCCAGTCAGTCAGAACTAATGTTTTGCTTATTGATTCTAAAAAAAATGCATTGCATTGCCAGCTGTATTATGGTTTATTTTGTATTAATGGTAAAATTAACATGTTATGCGTAAACCTGAATGTTTGCTACATTGTTTTAATGTTCATCCGTGTTTTTTGTTTTTTTCTGGGACCAACCTTGATATTTTCCAAACCATTTCGTTAACCTTATGCAGTTTGTTAAGATAAGACTAGCTAATATTGACAGTGCCCTACTTCAGGCCTTTACACCCTTCTGGTCATTTTTCCGCAGTGGAAAATCCCATAACTGTATACAGCTTTGTTCACACAGAGATCAAGTTTTTTTTGTTTTGCTTTGCTGCAAGAGCGTTCTCATGGAATTTAGTTACCTTACCACGAGTCACAAAGGTGACCTGATTATCTGAACACATTCTATTTCATTGTTTATTGTTTCCTATGAGGGTTAGAGGAGGAAAATGTGCTGTTTCTTTCTGACTTATGTCGTTACCACCCTGCTGTTGAAACCAATTTGAGGCAGTGTGTTTTCATGATCACTAAAACATACAGACATGTGTTCCGATGAAGGAGAATAACAAGTATCAAATAACACAACAGCATCTGTGTTGTTTAAACCGCAAGGTGATGACGTTGTTTCTGTATTAGAGGTGTTTGTCTCATCCTTCTCCCTCTGCCTCCCTTTTTTACCTCCTCTCTGTCTTTTTCCTTTTCCCTCCCTCTGTCTCTTCAGACTCAGCACAGTCAATATTTGGCTAAATTTCTTTTATCCTGGATTTCATGTGTTGTAATCTTTTTAGTTTCTCACAGAAGGAGAATAATCACTTCTAGCTTTCACTTCATACAAAGAAGCCACAAATCAAATGAAGGAACCATGCCTATTCTCCATCAGTAATATTGTTTGTCAGGCATTGTTAGGTATGTCAAACTTGACAGTAAATTGTAGTGTAACAATTGCAGTGTGCAAAGCAACGACCATATAAATTGTCTGAAGACACTGACGAGGATTCACTTCATTGGCTGGCCCTGTGGAAAAGCAACAAGGACACCTCATGCTTTGTTCTTATTTTCTCTACACCAGTCTTGGCTTCGTATTAACGCTCTGTTGAACCAATTATGTGAGTCAGAGAGGAAGCTGTTGTCCTGGTGTCATTACCTGAGATGATTCCTTTTAAAGAGATGACTCTGGGTGCAGTATGATTCACTGCCTCCATCCATTTAAGCCTCTTTCCCCTAAGTTTTCCCTGATTTTGCTATTTGGTTTGTTGCTAAATCGGTAGCAGATGAATCAGTCTGTTCCTGTCAATGTTTAAGCATTGCTAATGGATTGTGTACTTAGCTGTCGTCTGTGCTGGTGCTTTTACAAACTGCCTTTGCATTTTGTTCATTTTGTTTCTTCCACTAGTTCCATCATTTAATGTATTTACTCTTTTTGTGCTTATGCTGTAAGTGTAAGCCCATGGACGGAAGTCAACATACTCTAAGAAATAAAAAGCCCTTTGAGGAAAAAAACAAACCTACTCAATATGATTGCTTCACTGAAAATCACATCAGTCTCAAGTTTTCATCTGCTTCGCATAAAATATTATATAATTGCTGTTTATGTATTTTTTTTTAACTCAAGTCTTTGTGGGAATATATGCGTAATAACAATGTATCTCTTTATCTCTTTGTCTCAGGTCTTTGTTTTAATTGAGCTAGTTTTGAGCTCTGGGCAGCATGAGCTGAGATTTAACCTGACACTCGTGGCATGTATGGGCCAAAACCCTCACTTCTGACTCAGCCTTTTTCTTTGCAGTCGTTGTAAATTAACGCAAGACACAGAAAACAGTGACCTGGACATGTTCCACTAGTAGGTTGCTAGAAGGCCTAAGATGGTGCAACAAAAATGCAACCTACACTGTTTCTCTCAGCTACTGAATCATCTGAAAACATTTTGGGGGAGGGATGACCAGACCACTATCCATCAGCTTTTGTTAGAAGGTGGACAAGTGTGTGACTCAGCTGTGTTTGGGACACTTTTTTCCCCCCTAAATCAGTGAGGCAAACAAATCCATTATCACTGCACTAAATTACAGAGAGAAAAGAAGTATTGGACATATTATCAAGTAATTCACTTGAGTGATCCGTGCCCCACTCAATAACCCTTCATTTCTGGCACCTAGTACTAACCAAGGGAGGTGACAGCAGTAAGCTGAAAGCCGACCCAATCTATTTGTCACATCTTCTCAATTGTCTTTTGTTTTGTTCGATAAGGCGGGCATAAGGGGGCAATTGTTCAAAAATATGACCATTAATTTACCTTGGAAAGAAAACAGGCCCAGTAGCATAAAAGATCTAACCGAGAAAAAGGTCTAACCGAAGTATAAAGCACCAAAAAGACAGCACTTAGTTCGACACCTCACAAATTTATGTCTATGACTGGAACAAGGTGGAAGGAAGCCTTCCAGAGAAGCATATCTGGAACGTGCCAAAATCAAATGAAGAATGTGCTGAAGGCATTTGCCGAAGAAAGATCATGTGCAGCTTACATCTCTCTATCAGTGCGATCACAGGCTATCACCTATCGAACACTAGCTATATTGTGAGGCACAGTAAAGGCAGCATTACACAGAAGATTTTTATTCAGGCATAGATGAAGGACATCAATTGATTCCACCACCATGCTGATTTACTGAGACAAGTAAAGGAGTACAATCTTAATCAAACTAGTCACATTATAATGCAGGTTACAGTGCAAGACCACATTTAACACATCTTAAACCTAAACCTTCCTACTGCTCTTCATCACTTTAATCATATGTATATGTATTGAATAGGTGTATTTTATCTAGTATCTTTCATACTTTTACAGGATATTTATTTTAGTATCTTTCATACTTTTACAGGATATGCAATCACACTGTTAACATTCATTGACTAATTGCAGCCAAGTTGTAATTTCCTAATGAGGGAAATGCACTTATACTTTTTCATTTTTTTTTAAGATCCATAAAATTTTATCAGAGGAATTGTAAGGGACGTTGTTCATAAATACTGAGTTCATTCTCACAGTAGTAGCTGCATGTAAATCCTCCTTTCAAAGAGACGAGCGTGCCACATTTAGCAACAGTCACAGTAAAATAACACTATCAATTTTCCTGTCTAACATAAAGGACAGATTTTACAGGAACAAACAAGTATTGTAATTTTTTTTCCTTTGTAATGGTTTCTACTCTGCAGTGGTTCCCAGTTGTGTTACATTTTGTTGAAATTCGGCAGAAAGTGTTTTTGTGGCCCAACATTCTCATATCTACGAAAGAATGTTCAGAAATATTGGAACTGTTAGAGCTGATGCTTATTCACTTTAACTGTATTTGATCAAATGTAAATTACTGCTTGGGATCTGGTTACTTACTGTTGAATTTTGATCACCGAACTATACAGTTATAAAACTACATTCATTTTTCAGTTCTTATATCAGTAGAGCTACAGCCTGGGTATTGGCAGCAATCAAATCAGCAATCAACACGTTTCTCTATTTCAGTCTTCTCCTCTGTCATTATATGAAATCCATTTAATTCTCTGTGAGGAACCTGTGAAACTGATAGCCTTATTAAAGAAGTAGTTTTAATAAGTGAATGATCTCTCAGCTTTCCTTGCTACATACAGTACATATACACATTTTTTTGGTTGCTGAGGTAAATGAACACAATGGATAATTTGTTGTAACAGATAATTTTCCCTCAGAAGATAATGAATATTGACATTGACATTACTCTACAATAAACCCTTTGGTGACATTTCCTTGCCATTTTCTCTTTTCAGTGACATCCCAACAGTTTCCATTTTATTCTAGGATTATCAAATGATGAATAATCATTGCAGACTTAAGCATATGCCATCAGCTCAGGGCAGACCACGTTAGTGCCTGGCTAGTTCCGACATTGTGTCATTTGGCTCCTGTTTCCTGTTCATCCAGCTGCTGTGTCACATCAACGCACAGTAAACAATTAAGAGGAACAAATAGTGAGAAACCTGAACTCTGAGTCACCAACGTACAAGAAACATCAGAGCTAACAGCCATGAACGCTTAGAGCCCATTCTCCTGGGTAATAAAACACAACTGCGGCCACCTGTGTGACAGGGTGTATGAATTGATCTGCCCTCTTTACGTAGGTCTCCTACATGGACATAAATCTTTACAGGGGCTGTAAAAAGCTTTATAAATATATCAAATATTTCACATTTAATGTTTCAGAAAGGTATTCAGTCTTCACATCTTACTAATGTTCCAGTTCTGTCTCTTTACAAGGTGGTAGTATCAGCTTGTATTAATGTCACTGCAGTGTCTTGTTCTAACCACAGATGTGTTAGAGCAAAACATCTATTCAACTGCTCCATCTTCAAATTGTACTAAAGTATGAAATATAAAGGGAATACTAGCAGCAGGTTGATTAGGTTTTGCCTGAGTGTAAGTTCTCTTTGCAGAGATTTTTTTCCCTGGTACTTGTAGATTGGGGTTAGGATAATTGGAATTGGAAACTAGAATTTGGTATTAAAAAGTATTTCTATGACTGTGAATGGTATTCTTTTGTGGTCACAAATGAGTGCTGAGGTTGGCTACACTGTCACTTTGGCCCTGAAAATGAATTAAACAGTAGACAATACATTGATTAACTTTCAGAAGAAGCTCTGGAAAAAGACCTGAAGTAGTGCAAAAATGGTCCAGGCCACTCTTAAATTATGCGGCAGAAGTTTGGTTCTTGTAAATAAAGTCAAATCGCTCAAAACCAGGGAATCTACGTACTTCAAACTTAAGACCCCGAACCTTGCATCATTGTTATACTTTAGTGTACGTCAGGGTAACCATGAGCAACAGTTGCCTCGGGCAAGTTATCAGAAAGAGCATCTAGACGGTAGGTTCTGTTGATAAAATCAGGGGCACCACAGCTCAACAACATTTACTCATGAAAATGAAACATCCTTTACTTTAAATTTAGTTTATTTTTTTTTTGTAAATTAAAATAAGGTACACTAATTACAACTTGGATTCACTGATTAAAATTACGGTGTACAAAATCCATGTATGGGTCGGTTGATTGATGAAAGAGTCTTCTGTTGATCAGCTGTTTGCTGGTTGTCAATTTCTTTTTTTTTTTTTTTTTGTCTTTAGGTTTTAAAGACAATTCACGTTCTTTAAGTTTCATTCCAACACTGAATTGGTCTGTTTTTTGTTGGATAACATTTCTCGAAGACAACAGGTTAATGCTAAACAATGTCAAGGGAAATTGCTTTTGCATGCTCTTCAGTTTGTTTTTTAAGAAATCTTTTCAAAACTGTATCTTTCTGTACCTTTTAAGATTGAAGCAGGCATTGGTGTATAAGCATTGTAACTTGACATTGTTCCGTTTTGTTTTGGCACGCACAGCTCGAACCATCAACGTCGCCTTTTTAATGAGCAACCAGTAAGAACAAATGATGGCAGATGTTGCAGAGGCAGTGAACATTTGTTTTTATTGTCCGTGTGCTGCTCTGAGGTCTTTGGAGAAAGCAGAGAACTTGAAGCTGCGGTTGTTCCCAGAGTCAGAGCTATGCAATTGAACTCCCACAACCTCATCTCCTCGCACATCGATTGTAGTATTAAGAGAGAGTGTATGGCACGCTGCTGTGAATGAGCGAGAAAGCCGGAGAGAGTTTGAGGGGGAGGGAGGGAGGGAAAGAAAGGGAGAAGAAGAGGCAGAGAGAGAGTGAGAGGCAGAGAGAGAGAGAGAGAGACTGTAGCGTAGTCGTGTATGTCAGCCTCAGAAGCTGCGTGGGTCGCTCAGCTCCCTCACGCCATTGTTGATGTTGTGAAAAAAAAGGCAGAACAAAGGACTCCCCACGCTATGGAACCCTTACACCCATGCTGGCTCAGCTGTGCTATGATCACACCCCGATGGAATGCCATTGAAATTGAGCATTAGGGAGCACAGCAGGCATTAACAGAGCGGACACAGACACACAGTCAGTGACAAGAGGCAAGAAGGAAACAGTAAAGAAACCTGAGGCATCATTCAAAGTCCTTCTCATTTTTTTGGACTGTTTTTCCGGGTTCAATAGCTCCTTTTTTGGAAATTAGCCACAGCTGATAGGGTTCCAGAGCCTTCTCGAAAGGTTTGGCGTGGACATTATCGTGGCTTATTTGTTAAAGAGGTTGCTGTGGATACTGACAGAAAGAAGGCTGCACTGGAGCTTGAGGACAGAGAGAATGAGACACCTGCTGCAGAGTATGCTGCGATAGAGCAGATGTGGCTGAAGCAGGCAAAAGCAAGCATTATATTTATGCCACGCTCTCATCTAAATGCTGTATCCACCTCAAGAGACTGAGTTCTATCATCTAAGACAGCTTCTGCTTCACTCCACCCCTGTTGTCAGTTTCTTTCTGGATTTTGCACAAGAGTTGATGGAAATGGATAGTGTTAAGGACCATAATGGGCAGATGTGTCAGCTTCCAGGACCATGTGATTTCTCATGAGGGCTGGTCAGTGTGGTGAAGGGTCTGGTCGACCCTGGAGCATTTTTTTATTTCTCCTTCTGCTTGAAAATCGATGCTTGAATGAGAACAAGCAATGCGGGCGACAGTAAGTAGCAGTCAAATCTTTTTGAAAATATCTTTGTTTCGATTTGTCAAAATTGTCAGTTTGAGTTTTCAGTATAACTTTTTATAAAAATGTCAAGTTTAAAAAGGAAGACAGAAACTGGGGTGGGGGTTGATTTTTTTTTTCCAAGCACAGGAGGTTGTGGAAAAACAAAATAGTGAATACACATCCTTAGCCCCAACCCTTCACTACCCTCCACCATCTACACTTGCTGCTGACGCCGTTTGTGTGGGTGTGTATGAACATATGAGCTTCTGTGTGTGGCAGTCAAAGGGCTCTTTCCTCTCCCTGCTGAGCACATGAATGGGAGCAGTGTCAGAGATGGAGGTGCTGACAGTTTCTCTGTTGGAAGAGAGCTGGGGACGAAGAGCTTCGCCAGTGGAGTGTAGATTTTATGACAGCGACCTTAACAGTAGTGAGGTAACTATAAAGCCCACACATAGCAGCAAGTGTGCGTCGGTGGAAGAGTTTAGTTGCAGTGATTCTGATTTCACAAAATATGTTATTTTTTTCTTTAAAAATATGATGTAAATAGAGCTGTTGATTATCTGACGGAAAAGCTGTATTCTGGTTTGTCATTGATTTTTTTTTTTTCGGTAATCAAAAATGGTGGTGATTGATCCTGATTTCGGAGTCTTGTTTTTGTTTCAAGAAAAAAACATTGTGACTTGTGGGATATAGTTATTAACCTGATGTTATGTATGAAAATAGTTAGACATCAAAGGTTATGAAAAAGCCTACGAAATAATGAAAGTCAAAGATGTCAAAATCTCGTAACGGTAACGGTTTGGTGGATCCGTTAAATCTGACGTCCACAGTTCGGTACATTTATGGTATGAAAAGAAAAGAGGTGAGTCACATACAAATAGGGGTGTGAGAAAATAGCAATACGCCCATTTATCGCAATATTTTGTTACACGATACTGTATTGATATTCAACAGCTCTGTGTATTTTTTTGTTCCCATGTTCTCCCATGAAGAAATTTGCAGTTGCCTTTGCAGTAGTGGAATTGTGTGATCCAATTTGAATGAAATTTTATTTAATTCAGAACTCAAAATTATGTGACTGGTATTGCAAGTGTTGGGGTTGCTGATCTCAGACTTTGATTCATTTGAAAAACAAATGTCTGTGAAGGAGGTAAAAGAAGAGGGAGATGATCATTGTTGATTTGTTGAACTGAATCTATTAAAAATCCATAAATCCAGAACTAAATGGATAAAAATATTAAAAGAATGTGAATATCAGATGGTACATATTTGATTGTCTTACCAAATGGAAAGGGCACAATGACAGAAAAACAAATACTGATAAACTAAATTCACCTGGAGTCATCTTTAATCAATATGCAGGAGATTATTGATTTAAATATTACTATAATATGATCAATAATATTCTTGTGTTCTAGTTTAGAAAACCTTTCAAATATGTAGTACTACACATCAACCTTTAAAGTGCACAAGAAGCTAGAAAGGCAAAAGGAAACAGGCTCCCCCTTGTGGCTCTTCAAAATGAATCCCAAAGCATCTACAGCTTTTTATTGACATGAACACATTTTTAGTTTATTCAGAAGTAAGTAGATTAACAGCACTTTGCTAAGTTATTACAAAATACTCTTCTGTTGCCCTGTAAATAGAGTTTTTCCCTGTTTTGTTTAAAGCTTGCGTGCCCACATTTTTTGGGCATGTGAGTGGTAGTTTGAGGTTAATGCTTGTTTTTTTTTAATTCCAGCTTCTCAGTCTGCTGCACATATTTGAAGCAGACGGTTATTGTTGTTGTTAAACTGCGTTTAGCTTTGTGTGTTGTTACTGTGTCATTAACATTGCTTGTATCTACCTTTAAAACTGAGAAGCCTTAAAAGGACTTTTTTTTCTTATACTAAGGTGTGCAGATATTGACATTGTCTATCACTAAGCCCAGAGGGTGTGAAATGTACAACTGGTTTCCATGACTTCACAGTGTGTTTATTTTTCCAACAATGATTGTTCAGATATGCCAAAATCCTGTGCCATATGCTCACCAGTCTTGGGTTTTGCACAGACAGTCACTGAGGTTCATATTTAAATCTATCCTCACATTTTTAAATGAAACATCTTTCTTTCTTTTCAGGTAATCCTGGTACAGGTAAACCCAGGTGAGGCCTTCACCATTCGAAGAGAGGATGGTCAGTATCAGTGTATCACAGGTAATACACGAAACACTTCCTGTCTCTTTTCTTTAAAATTCTGTTTGAAATGTAAAGCTTAAAGCCTTTTGACCATAGAGCCAGATAGATAAACATAAAAGCACTTGCATATTCTCTAGGTTTTTGAAGATCCATATAGCATGAAGTACGCAATCCCATAACTTGCCAAGTATGACTCTGACTGCTCAATCATTTTGGCACTGCTTTAGCTTACATTCCACTTGAAGTGCGATCAAGGCCACGGAGGACTTTATTTTTGTGCAAGAGAGATTATAGATTGGTTTAAAATTGTGGCACGAGTTTAATATAAAAGCAAACTAGACTTTTTGATATGGATGGGTTGATTTAATACTTGATACAGAATTTAGTAGCCTGGCCGATCTGATAGCTATGCCCAAATGCTTATCTTAACTTTGCACAACATGCAGTAAACAGGGATACTCTTCAACGGCAACCTGCAGCATGCTGGTGGAGAAAAAAAAGGAATTGGATTGATATTGGTATGGACAGCTACTCCAAGTTGCACTGTCGGCATTAGACATGGAAAAAAAGTTGTATTTAGCATCCTTAATTTTGGAGAGAGCTGCAAAGTAAAACTTTTCATTAACCAAATATAATTTCTAGAAAGATGTTTTCCCGCAAAAAGACCTGATAAAAAATGCTTGTACAATCGTACATGTATAATCGTTACACAAAAGCCTCTATTGCTGCATTTGAAATTTTCCCATGTACCCAGTCACATAAATAATGGTGTTCGACATACCCTCGTGAATTGATAGCAAAAATGAAAAACATGAAGAGGTATTTATAAATTTAAATATCATGAATAATGTATACCTGCTACTGATGCGCTGTAAATCACATTGATATGTAAATTAGGCAGTGGGCAACGTTCCATAAAACATTATTAAACTGATATCATATGCAAATAAAGCATTCTGTTAAATTGTATTGTCTACCCATTCAAAACCAGTGCTTGCATGATATACAGTACAATGTTCCAGAGTGCATACATATTTATTAGTTTTTTTCGATCATACTACAACTTAATGTTCTTGTTTGTGTGGTGACACTTTTTTTTTTTAGGTTTAATTGATTAGTAGTAATATGTTTTGCTATAAAGTAAATGAAAAAGTGTTATCTGCTTTGTTCTGAATGTGCATTAGTATGGATTTTTTTGTGCTTCTGAAGTTGCCTGCCTTCAGAATTCAAAGAAGGGCTTAATCCAGAAAATGCAGGTAATGGTCTAGTGACGTTTTGAAGTCCTGCACTTATCTTTGGAAATGAGGTTCAATAAGCAGTTTTTTGTGCTTTCATGTGGACCCAAATGCATTTTATTTCCCAGGCATAAAAGAACAGAGGTTTGGGCAGGATGCATTAATGTGTTTTTACAAATATAACAGGATGATGGCCATACTTCATAGCCTGCGGATTGCTTGATGACGTAATTGTTTTTTATGCCGTTAGCCAAGTAAGGTTAGTGTAGATATTACAGCGAAGGAAGGAGGTGACCTGAAATCATGTTGACTCTACTGTAAACCAAAGATACTACTGTACACATTCTTGATATATGACTTCCACAACCGCAATACTCAACATCAAGAAGCATAAGAAGAAGGCAAACATCAGTTTCAGTCAGCGGCTCAGTTGCTGAGGTAAGGTTCACAGTGTGTGGACACAACTTCCACTGCCAATAAAGGCTGATTTGAAGGCATGGGAGGTTGCACCAAATACTTTAGACTAATTTGCCACATTTAAGAGTGCATGACAAACAAACATCTGAATACCTCTTCTCCTATATTGTGCCTAACAGATGGCTTTTGATGATTAACAAGCTCGCTCCAGAGAGAGCAGATGGAAACATTTTCTAATCCTTGTACGGTTTAAAAACCAAGATTGTGTCACCAACTCAATTCAGTTGTTGCGTTAGCTCCACCTGGTTGACTGATCTTGTTGAGGCCTCTCTACTGCTGTCCACCCTGTCTTTATCAAGTTATATTATGGCCTGTCTTTAGATGAACATGCAGCAAAAAGCACAGATCATCGAAACTATTGGAGGCTGGTTTATTCATTTAAAATGCTGCTGGTGGGGAAACTGAAGTGCTTGCTTTGTAGTGTTGGGGCCAAAAAATGGAACAAAGTCATTGCTGAACAAACATCATTTATAGTGATTTAATAACATAAGCCAGTAGAATCAGAATTCTCACTAAAGTAAAATAAATCTTGGGTTACAATAAGGTTTTTTTGCAGCTCACACGACCCAGGTTAGGGTAATGGTACAACCTTACCTGCCCTGACTTTATTGTACAGTGCTCATGTTGCACTGATAGATTTGAGAAAATTATTTTTTGCTGTCCGTGTTGAAAACATGTCTGACTTCAAGATTTAACGTCGCAAAATTCTATTTTGCTGCAGTAGTGCATTGGTAGAATGTAGGAAAGAGAGAGTGAACAAACTAAGTTATGTCAAACTTTCATAGTAAAGTTTCTAATTTTTGAGTAATTGAATATGGTATCCATTGTTGGAATACAGTCCCATGAGTTAAAACAGACATAATAGCACTAATTGATACAGATATAAGTGGTGTCCAGTTGCTATTGGCTGTAGGTGAGAATGTGATCGTGAAGGGTTCTGCAATAGACTGTATGAAGTATACCCTGTCCATGCCAGTTGATAGGTTGGATTGGCTGAATTAATAGCTTTAGATCATGAATGGTTGGATTAAATGTTTGCCTAAATATATTTAAGCATGTGATTTTGCCCTTTGTTTGTAGATTTTTACTGTACTTAGTAATGTTAGTGAATAAAAACTTAACTCTAGGCTTGGATAAAATGCTCTAGGACAGGCTCAGATGATAAGGTGTATAAAGTGATGGTGCCTCTGCAGGAAGCCAATGTACTGTACAGTACTCTTCACCTCTCTCCCTGTCAGACCAGGCCTCCCATTAGGAGCTGAGTAAACCCTGTTAAAGGGGAGCCAGCATACAAAGTCTCCCATCAGAAGGGAAACAAAGAGGTGGCACATAGATCAGTGTGACTGCGACTAACTGCCCTGTCGCAGGGTGCACTCATCTCCCTGTGACGTGAATAGAGGGATGACTCACTGCTTGTGGTGCAAGGAGGGAGGAAGAAGGGTTCATGCAGGATAGTTGCATGTATGTGCATGTGGGGGTTTCATGGTATGATACGTCATGTGTTGCTCACACAACAAAAGACCATCGCTTTTTACATACATATTTGTCCATGCTACATCTTTAACACCATTAATGGATGTAACATAACTGACAACCTATTCCTTGGACCGGTTCCCTCCCTCTTCCATTTATAGAATGGTCTTTTATGCAACCTATTCCTCGGACCGGTTCCCTCCCTCTTCCATTTATGTTTTCAATGGTGTATCTCCACAGCAGAGTGTATGTAGTTATGTATCATTAAATGGCTTTTACTTCCTTTTATCTGCATAGAGAACAAGGTTAGCTAATTAGAATTTGAAATGTCCTGTCAATGCTAGGAGCTGCAAGTCCGTTAAGTATGATATTGTTATTTCTTAATAGAACACTAGGTGCAAACTAGTCATTTTTGCTATTGATTTGAATTCTTCATTACATGCACCAAGCAATAGAATACCTAAACGGCTAGGTGACTAATGACTGAGAATCAAGACCAATGGATTGATTAGATTGTTTATCTGACTTAGTGTACTAGTGATTCACATCACTGCAGATGATTCAGTCTACAGTTGACAGCAGACAGCACTGTCTAGATAACTTGGATTTATTGAGCCTGATAGTGATGTGCTTCCTCCCACAAAAGATTTAGTCGTTCATGCTTCTGAAGACTGTTTGCACAAACTGTACATGCATATATCTGGCAGGGTTTGTTGTCCTGTAGCCTTACTTTCCTCTGTCTCTTGGATACAACCAATTGCTCTGTCTTGTTTCTCAATTCATATGCAGTCACTGTGGATGTTCAATGTCATCAGTTCCTCATACTTATTCCTGTTTCTTTAAACTTATAGTTCAATGAACAAGACCTTTAAATGTATACAGTAGTTATCACCACCCACAGACTGGAGGAAGGGGCGTTACGTGCTCAGTGTTGATGAACACAGACTACTATTATAATCAAACAAAACAGTATGCTTAAACAATTGCCTTAATAGTTTGCCTGACTCAAATAACAAGCTCTTCTGATGTATAACTGATAGCTTTATACTACTGTGTGTCAGTAATTGTACTGTAGAATGAGCTCCGTCACTGTCAGAGAAGGAAGCACACAACTTGGCATTGGTTATTGTGCTTAGTTCCGATTGTGTGCGCAATACATGTAAAATGTGGTGGGTTGTTCTGGACAAAGAGTTTAGTTACAATATGGACGAAGGTAAGGAGGCGCTGTCTGACAGAGGACAGCTTCTGGTCCCCCCTGTAGAGTTTATATGTCTCAGGAGACCTCTTTTGTGGACTGGTAAGTACTTAGTGTAGCACACTTTGACATACTACATCCAAAAGTTTTTAACACTGGAACAGTAAAGGGCTGCCAGCAACCTCTGTTCCAGTTTTTTTTAAGCACTCTTAAGAAAATGGGTTGTTACGGAGCTTTTTTTAGTTGTGCCCCACAAAAAACATTCACATTCCTTGGTTGATTCAATTTCTGATTTTATACTTGGTCTTTCTCTCCTGTTTGCTTCTCTAATCAGTCATACAATGGTAGTTATATTGGTGAGTTCAAGCAACGTGCTTGCAAGGTCAGATTGACATAGTAAATAAAGATCTATGTAGTTTTTTTTTACTAACTTTCATAAAAGCAGCATGTGCGTCATACACATTAGTACTTACATATTTTTTATATATGTTTATCTCCCCTTTTCAATTCCATGTTTCTATGGGTAGACACCTGGCATTTATTATCACAGCTTCAGAAGTGATAGTAGCTAGCTCCATGAATGAATAGAGCTATGACTCATTCTCATATTGCTGCGTCAATGCCAAAGGGAGGGGATG